AAAAAATAAAAATGAGCTGGGGGATGTAGCTTAATGCTCTGAATTTAACCCCCTAGTATCTAAATAAATGAATCAATAAAAATAAAAATAAGCAAATTGCTTATTTTTATACAAGTAATCCCTCTTTGGTAAAAAAAAAATAAAGTTTATAGGCATTAACTTTTCTGCCAGCTACTCCTTAGAGAACTAATATCTAGAATATGGAAAGAACTAAAAAACAAACAACAAAATTAGAGCACCAAAAATAAATGACCCAATCAAGAGCTGGGCAAATAAAATGAACAGATACTTCTCAGAAGCTGTTCACCATTGCTGACCATTAGAGAAATGCAAATTAAAACAATGCGAAGATTTCATCAGACATTAGAAGCTGGTGTGGTGGTGCACACCTACATCCCAGCACTCGGGAGCCTGCACCAGGAGGATCCCTGGGAGTTCCTGACCATCAGTGAGTCCAAGAATAACAAATGCCAGCCCTACACTGCCGGTGGGCATGCAAACTACGATAACCATTATGGAAATCAGGATGGAGATTTCCCAAATAAACTAAAATTAGAAATTTCATTTGAAGGGCTGGGGAGATAGCTCAGTAGAATAAGCACCTGCCTGGCAAGCGCAGGGTCCTGAGTTCAATCCCTGGTACCAAGAAAAAGAAAAAAGAAATGGCATTTGACCCAGCTATTTCCCTTCTAGAAATCTTCCCCAAAGAGCTAAGGACAACCTGCTATAGTGATCTACGCATACCTATGTTTATAGCCTCACAGTTCAGAATAGCTAAATCCTGGAAGCAGCTGGAATCCCTAGCGACAGATGAATGGATGAAGAAAATGTGCTGCTGTTCACACATAACGGAAGACTACTTGGCTCTAAAGAAGGATACCCTGGAAAAAAAAAAAGAAAGAAAAAAAAATAAAGAAGGATAAATTAGGTACATCTACAGAATGTGGATGCACCAAGAAAACATAATGTTGAGTGAACTAAGCCGGACACGAAAGCGTCAGTGCTGCTTGGGAGCTTTCCTTTGTAGGAAGCAAGGCACAAAGGACAGGCGGAAGGGGACAAGGGGATGGGAGTGTTACAAACAGGAAGGGTCCACCGGAAGCTAGGGTAAGAGATGGGCGAGGGGAGGAGGAAGGTCTAAGATGCGCTGCCTCCAGGGACCAAGTACCCACAGAAGGCAAGCACTGCATGCCACACACGGGGGCTACGGATGATGACAACAACATGAATGAACATGTGGGTGGTGGAAAAAAATTAAGCATGTTTCAGCTAAATGATAATGTAGTTTAATAAAATGTAAAAATACATCCAAAAAAGAAAATGTGGGTGGTGATTTAGAGATGGAGGGAAGGAGAAGGGAGGGGAGGGGATTAAAAAAAGAACCGTGCTGTGTTAGGTACATGCGCCCACTCCCCAAGAGGAATGTAAACTTCACGTCTTGCAAACATATATGAATAAAATACAAGTTAAAAGGAAAAAAGTGCTTTGAAGCACATAGCAAGATATTACATTCTAAAGAAAAATTACTTTAAAAATGTGTGTTGTTCCCAGGAGACCAGCTTATTTGTGTATTAGTATTAGAATAAGAAAATCTATGTTTATTTCTACGCTTTTAGAAACAACGGATGACATCAGATGTGGGCTTTTTCCCTTGGCTGTGTGAGCTGAGCTCACTGTCGCCTGCCCGAGTCCAGTTACGCCCCAGGGAGACGCTAATGCAGAAGGAGCGGGTTTTGGCAGGATTCTTGCCAAGCTATCGCGTTCATCCAAAAGTCGATCTTTTGGCCAGGACCAGCTTTTCTGACTGGAGACTTTGGTTCCATCAGGAAATGCTGAGCACAGTTCCCTTCTCCATCACAGAGAGGGTCCCCAGGGCAGCTACGCTT